CATGTGCGTCGCTTGTACGTATATATTATTGAGCCAAAATAAAGACTTTTCCCAGCAAGACGAGACCCGTCGACGAGGATCGAAACAGGATGTGAAAAGTTCGGCTAGCAAGAGGGCCACAGTCCCTGGAAAGAAGAGTTAATATCTTAACGTAATTCTCAACGTGGCACAACGCTGCGAAAAGTCGCACGTCCACATCTACGCGCTATCGCTATCAATAACGAGTGTGTAGCGTTGGATAGCACAACTGGCTCGGGCTAACTCTACCGCCGTAATTTCATTATGCTCGGCGACGTCATCGGCAACGTCTCGAAATTACGTTCCGCAAGACCGCGTTCCTGTATCCCGCGTTCCGTGCCGCGCTCCAGCGCGCTACGTCGCAGCGCCGCGCAGCCGTGATTGTTGATGCTCCACTAATGTTTGTCCCGCGCCGAGTATGAAATAACTTGGTTACATCTGCGCGATATCGACACCCACTGCCGATACACGTGACACGGCCTCTCTCGGAATTCCCCACTCGGCTGGCTTGGCTGGCACAATTAGTAATTTGCCGGGAGGGAGACTCTTAATGCACGGCCCAATGTCCGTAATGCGGCCGATATCCTTGCTCTCGTCTGTCGAATCAAAACCCCGGTAGATGCCGCGGACGATAAGCCGGCGATAAGATCCCGAGACCCGGGCCGTCATAACGCTTCCCCTCTCTGAGCCATGAGAAAAATTAAGATTACTCGGCCGTTATCAAGTCGCCCAGAACGCTATCAACTATGGCCGATAGTTAACGCCCACCCCCCGCCCCGTTACGTGCCCCGCAACTCTCTCTCTCTTAATTTTACCGGAGACTTTCCCTATCTTTCCGTCTATCGTCATCTGCCCAACACTTGCGCATTTATTTTAATCCAACACCGCAACTCCAGAATTCCTCACGCTATTTGCCTTCAATGTCAAGTCTCTGTCTCTCTCTCTCTCTCTCTCTCTCTCAAGAGAAGATAGTCTAGCCAGGGCGATTTCGCCTCGCGATTGGTTTCTACTTTTCTGTCAAGGTGTGAATCTTCCCCACAGACTCTCCTTTTGGCTCTGTCACGGCCGGTCCTAGCTAAGGCATTAGGCAGTTTCAAGTCCAGTGTGCATCTGTAAAGTGACTGTTCGGTAAACTTCTGTCACGTCACACATCGGTATACGTGCACCGACGATTCATTAGCAAAACCCAGATTTCCTATTGCTACGTTAGCAGGTCTCACCCGCGGAGGGGGTGTCGAGTAATTTCATTACGGCCGACGTCGACACCTCTCTGGACGCGCGTCCCGCTCGCCCTCGTCGCCTCGTCGCCTCGTCGCCGCGAGGATTATGTACGGCCGCCGGTCTCGCTGTGATTCCCCGTCGTCCGCTGTCGCCGTCGACTAGGGACGACGCGGCCGATAGATAGACCGCGACAATAGTATCGGCCGGCAACGGCGTCTATCTCCTGTCGCATCGCTAGTCCCGTAGCCGTTAGTCTCCGGCCACGAGCGGCCCTTAATCTGATGTGCCTCCCTCCGCGAAGAGGATGGACGAAGGGGAGCAGGTGGCGAGGAGGAGCTGGCCGAAGGCGGCAAACCGTCGCGGAAACAAACGACTCGGCCGGGCCGGGCCGCGCCTCGCCTCGCCTCGCCTCGCCTCGCGGTCACCCCGACTCGCTCGCCCGGGCCGATTCCACTCCGCTCCGTATCGGTCGTTTCATTTCGCTTATAAACACGAGCTAGCGTGTAAACGGAAGCTCGCTGATCGCGGCACACGCCGCCGCCACGTTGCGTGTCGTGCCGCGATGGTGCAGCCGGACGTGTGCGGGCTAGGCTAACGGGACGTGTTGGACGCGGCTGAGGAGCGGGGAGAACGAGAGAGAGAGAGAGCTGGTCGGAGCGAGAGCGAGAGCGAGAGCGAGAGCGAGAGAGAGAAAGGAGAAGCGGGTTGGGGGGGGGGGGAAGGACAGGTCGGGCGACGCTGGGTGTATCTGGGACGACGACGAGAGGCTAGGGTGGCGCGAATACTGCGGTTCTGATTACTTCGGAGGGTCCCGCCGGCGGCGGATTTGCGGATACGCGTGACGCCAGGGCTCAAGGGCTTCGGGGAGGCCTCCGGAATAAAGGCCGGGTAAAGAAAAGGCGCGGGTCGTGGCGCCCGCGGAGGAAAGTGTGCCAGCGAGTAATTATTTCTCAGCGCGCAGCGTGTGACGCTTCGAGATCGTAAGGGCTGTATCGCTGGAAATTAACCGTAACACGACGGAGGGAAAAGAGGGGGGCGAGCGGGAGGGGGGAGGGAGGGAACACGGGGAGACATGCGCGAGGTCAATTTCATTTGCGCGAATTTATAATTAAAGTCACAATTAATTCCGCAGTTATCGTAATGGCGGTTATAATTAAAAACAAGGACGACTGTAATATTGTTGCGATAATTTATATCTCGCGCGCGCATTTTCAACGGGGTTCTAATTAATTTCTACGCATCTCGCGCGATTATGACGACGACGACGACGACGACGACGAGTGCGACGGTACGGTGCATGTGTTTGAAGAATATCCAAACTCACGGGATGCGAGACGATCAATATTTTGTCAGATCAATAATAGAGCTTCCGAAAAATGGCGACTCGCGCGCGCGCGGGCTTCCGCGTTACTATAAATTCGTCACGGGATAGTTCCCAGTTGTACCTGACGCTCTCGCAAAAACACAACATTGCTCTCCATGCCTCACATATTCGGCTCGCACGCGCGCGGGCCGCCCGAGAGAGAAGCGGCGCGGCGGGCGAAAATGCGCTATTGATCTAGAGAGAGAGAGAGAGAGAGAGAGAGAGAGAGAGAGAGAGAGAGAGTACTTTTCCGGCGCGCCGCGCGGGATCTTTGATTTTTCATATTAGAAATTCTCATTACGTCCTCATCGTATTTTACTCGCTCGTGCGCGCAGAACCGCCGGCTCTCCCTCGCCGTTTCGCCCTCCGCGATTGCATACCCGCCGCTCCCATTCCGGCTTATACTACGCCTTCAGGTGCAACCTGACGCCGCTACATGCTAGATGGAATTCGATATAAGCGTCGCTTGAACACGGAATCATTTAACACGGACGAGGACTACCGCCGGAGAGTTGTCGGGGCGACGGCGGGGGCGGAGGTCGGGTGGTAACTCTGAAACACTTTCGGCTCTTATTTCTCAAAGAGCCTGATCCTTTTATTTACCGTTGCCTCTCTCTCTCTCTCTCTCTCTCTCTCTCTCTCTCTCTCTCTCTCTCTCTCTCTCTCTCTGTCTCTCTGTCTCTGTCTCTGTCTCTGTCTCTGTCTCTCTCTCTCTCGCTCGCTCGCTCGCGCGTTTAAAAAATTTTTACAGCAGCTGCCGCGCGCGCGGGGAACGCGCGTTATTCTCCGGCTGCTCGCGACCTATCGTCTTTGACGATACATCTCCGTATAATGCACGTTGAAACGCGAGGCAATCTCGATGCTCGCAGACAAGATTTAACGCGCGCTCGTGTGCACACGTATATTCCCCTCTCTCGCTCCCAGCGGCCTTGCGAGCGGGCGCGCACTCGCGCGTATTTGACTTCATACCCCGCATAACTCAAAGTTTCGAAGAAAAACGTCTCGCACAACTCGGCGCACTTATATCGAATTCGCTCGAATGTAGACCGCATTACGTCACCATGGAAAGAGTTTAACCGGAGTTTAAGAGCTACGACAGACAGTTAGCGGGGAAGAGTGCGGGGAGGCGGCGGGTGGGTTAACTTTTCGGCGTGGCCCGTTCACGTGGCGTTGAGACGACACTGAGAGACCGACGTACCGTCGCGGTCGGCTACAGTCGGAACGTCCGTCGTGCCTCGATGGCTATCCGTTCCCACGACTGGGGATGCTTAACTTTAAGTGCGGATGCTTTTACTCACTCGGCTGTAAGAACGCTTAGACTTAATAGGATATCGATACTCTCAGTCATTTGATACCCAGCGATGCGAGATCCGCCAAGAGAGTACATTCTCTCTCTCTCTCTCTCTCTCTCTCTCTTCCATGTTTCTCTGCCCCCTCCCCCCTCCTCTCTTTCTCCATCTCTCCCACTCAACGCGTCGTAATATCGATACTTGGCTCGCGAGCCCAAGAAGAACGCAGCCTCGATGTCAACACGAATAATATGGAATTGTTGTGCGCAGGATATCTCGTTACCTCTCTCAAAGAGAGACCGGAGTACACAAAGTAAGGGAAAGCCGCTCGACACAGGATCGTAACTCAAGAGCGATCGCAGCGACGGGGGCGGGGGCAGAGGACGAGGAGCGGGTAACCACAAGCGCGCGAGAATTCGCGCCGACGATTATCGCAGAGGGTAGCAAGAAGGAGAAGCGGAAGGATCGGAAGCGCGTAAGAAAAGTCGCTGTATTTCCTCGCGACGAAAATCCCCCCCTCCAGAGTCACGTTGATCCCTCCTCCCTGCCCCTGGCCCCTTGTCATTCGAAATCCCAAGCTCGCAATCCGGAGCTCGCTTCGGATACCGAGCTACTCGATCCCGCCGCTACGGTGAAGCGTAACGGCCGGCGATGTCGAAAGTAAACCGTCACGGGTGCCGTGTCTAAACTATTTAGTATCGAAGCTCGCCCAAGTATCGATACCCGCCGTAAGCATCCCTACTCCGCGCTTACCGCCCTACCCGCCGACTCTAACCCGCGCACCCGCGTCCTTTGCAGACCATCGTCCGCCTTACGGCGGTGCGTAGAGTGCAACTCCCGCACAGGCGCTCGCGCCCTCTCGCTCGCTCTTTCGTTCGGGCTGGTTCGTGCCGCGCCGGGGGGGGGCGCTCGCCGCCCCTCGGCGGCGCGCTGCTCCGACCGACATCGGGTACTCTCGGGCGCGCGCGTACGAACGACCGAGAGAGAGGGGCCGAACGGCAGCGCCGGCGGCGCGAGCGAGAGGGCGTTATACGCGGTCGGTGCCGTCGGCTGCCGTCGCCGCCGCCGCCGCCGCCGCCGCGCGCGCGAGGGTGGAGGGGGGCGCCGCGCAAAGCCCCCGTAGGCCGCGCCGCCACTCCGCACACGCGATCACCGTGGGGCATACACGCTCTCCCCGAATGCCTCCTCGCCGCCACCCGCTACTTCCGCGCGACGCGTGCTCGCCGCACGATCGGGACGCGTGTGCCCTCCTCGTGTCGCTCGTGCCGCGCCGTGACTCGTGAGAGGGTAGTGCGCACCCAGTGTGCCCCAGTAGTGCCTCCTTGCCGACGAGCGCGAGCCGACGTGCTCGCTCGTTCGTCCGTCCGTCCGTCTGTCTGTCCTGTCTATCTATCTGTCTGTCTCTCCGCCTGTCTGTGCCTGTCCATTGGCGCGCCGACGGCGAGAAACGTTTACGTGAATTGGTGTGAAGCGAGAGAGAGAGAGAGAGAGAGAGAGAGAGGGGGGGGATTGTATACCGAGACGATATACACCGGTTATCGGCGAGATATCGCGAGTATTCGCGAGTGAGCGGCCTCATGTGAGCCACGCAAAACACGCAACGCGCGTGTACAAAGAATTTTTCCTAACCTCGATTTCTCGTAACCTCGTGTGTCTCGTGCTCGCGCGCGCGCGCGCGCGCGTTCGTCGATTCTCGATCGTCGTGTGTGAATCCCACGTTGCCGCGCTCACTGGGATCCCTCTTCTTCTTCTTCATCGCAGCAGCAGCAGCAGAAGCAGCAGCAGCAGCAGCAGCAGCAGCAGCAGCAGCAGCACGATCTCTTGCTCATCGTCTTCGTCGTCGTAGTCATCGGGTTTCCGGAGTTGAAGGACTGCGCGCGAGGCAAGAAATCCCTGCGAAGCATGGATTGGACCCGGGGGATCGGGCTGACCAGCGTGTTGTTGTTCTGCCTCGGGGTCGGAGGTAAGTCTCCAAGTCTGCGAGAATGCTTTTTGCGAGCGCGCGCGGCAAGGCGGATTGAAGGAACAAGGCGGAATATCGCGAGGCGCGTGAATGGAAGGCTGGCCGCCTTTGTCGTGAAACGTTGTTGCGCGGCGTTGTTGCCGACGACGACGACGACGACGACGACCTGTGCTGCCTGCGCGCGCTCGATCGATTCGATTAATCGTCGACGATCCGCGTCGGGAATGCGCGGCGTTTCGGACATCCGCCCGGAGGCCGGCCGTCGCGACGCGCCGCTTTTGTTCGCGACGCGACGCGATGTCGATGGCCTATTTGCGGCGCTATTATGAACGGCTGCGGCGTGACGATAACGCGCACGTTTGCGCCGCTGCTCGGCGGAGATAACCATCGGAAATTGTTTTAACGAGGGTCAACGCTTGTCGCGTTATTTTCGCCGCCGCGTTGCTCGCGCGGTGCGCCTCTTCTTCGATATATCCTTCCTCCTCTCCTTCCTCTCCTCTCTATTTACTATCGCTGTTTTTCTCCGCCCTTTGTCCCCGCAAAACAAACCGCTCGAAGAAACGACCTTGGAGACCGCACACTCGTGCGACCTGCTGTTTTTCATCCAGTGTGCGAAAATTTGGACGCAGAATTTCGTGGGAAAATATCCACGGAGAATACTGCTCCGACGAGAGAGCTCGATACAGCCGCGATACCTGGGCTCTCTCGGTGCCTCGCGGATTCCTTTTGCACCGCGACAAATTCTTCGGAAGATACTTGCAGCTCGGCATCGTCGCGTTCGCTTACTCTTACACACTCTCTCTCTCTCTCTCTCTCTCTCTCTCTCTCTCTCTCTCTCTCTCTCTCTCTCTCTCTCTCTCTCTCTCTCTCTCTCCTCTCTCTCTCTCCCCCTCTCCCTCTCCCCCCTTACCTCCCGAATTTTAGGGATACTTTCCGCACTCGACGCGTGAGGAATTTCCCGTCTTAATTGGAATATCGCAATCTCACTCCGCTTTTCCGCATATATATCCGGCGTTTTCATTTTTTCCTTCTTCCTCCTTCCTTCCTCCTCCTCCTCCCAGGCTGCCAGCCTGACATTAACACCGGAGTTCCTTCGACAGAGAGAGGAAGAGAGAGAGAGAGAGAGAGAGAGAGAAAAGAGAGAGAGAGAGAGAGAGAGAGGGGGGGGACTTACGCTATTTTCTCTCGCTGCCTGTGTTCTCGAAATTGGCAAAGTTATGAAATAGGAGAGAGAGATGTACTTTCGAAGAGCCGGGGTCGCGCGCTCGCGAAGGATATTACTGATTCCTGCCGCACTAGCCGTTTGAAAGTAGTCATACATTTATTCCGCCGCGACGAGAGAGAGAGAATGACGTTCTATTGGTAATAACTAAAGTGCTGAGTTTCTGAATTTTTAAGCGGCCGCCGCCGCCGCCGCGTGCGACTCGTGCCGTGTTCGAGAGTTCGCCGAGTGTAATCGCGGAATGCTTAAGAGGAGATCGCCCCGCCCGCGCCGTCGGCGACACGCAAAAATCCAAAGCCACCGCGGCGCATCACGCTAATCCGATTAAAATGACCGGAGGAGGTCATCCGAGCAGCAGGTCGGCCGCGCCACACACGCACATGGCGGAACTGAGCGAGATAACGACGCGAATAGCGTCGAAGGGGAGCAAGAGTCGTCTCCGTTTCGCACCTCGAAGCCTCGAAGCCGGAAACATTTCTCGGACGACCGGCGCGCGTTTCTCTTCGCGCGTTGCGCAACGGATGGAAAAAACGTCGCGAGGGCCGCGACATCGATTCCGCGAAATCTCTTCCGAGAGAACGAGAGACGAGTGCGTTTCACGCTTTTACGCGCGCGAGTTTTTACGCAACGTTCCGTCTCTCCTCTTAATGCGCACGAGCGCACAAGCGCACGCGTAAAACACGCGGACGAGCTTCCCCGGAGGAGGAGGAGGAGGAGGAGGAAGGAGGAGGAGGAGGAGGAGAAGGGAGAGGCGGCAGCTTTACGAGAGCAGCTCCGCACTCGCGGATTTCAGACGAGTATTCGGTTTGCGAATGTAAAACATGTGAAAAAATAGATGATAGCGCAGGCGGCGGCGGTGGCAGCGCGGGTGGCAGCGGCAGCTACGCGGGTAAAAGTATTTGTCGCTTTTCCCACTTTCCTCTCCTCCCCCCCCCCTCCACGTCCCGTTGACCCTCTCTCCGCCGGAGTTTTTCCAACGCGCTCTTCAATTCGCGAAACGATCGCGGCATACGAGATATATGCATTTCCGAGAACTCGCGCTCCCCTGTGCTCTCCTCGCCCTCCCCCCCCCCCACCTCCTCTTTGCGCCCCTCGCGCTGCGTTCGCTCCCACGCCACTCATTCCGAAACTCATTTCGCGATATGGGATAAACAACGACATTGTCGGAAAACGCGAGCGGAACTTGAATCCGGAGGTAACTCCAGCCCCGCGGCGGTGGTGGCGTACGACCCAATTACCAACGCGGTCTCTCTCTCTCTCTCTCTCTCTGTCTCGTGTGTGTATGTGTCTGCGTGTGCGTCTGCCGCGAGTACTTTTCGGGATCTTGTATAATTTAACGAGCTTTCGATGCCGTTGCCGATCGAGTGGCCGCGATACGACAAAGACGCGACGCTTCCGCGCTGATCGTGAGAGTCGGCGTCGTCGTCGTGGCGTCGCTGCTGATAACTCGCGGAGAAGGAGAGAGAAGAGGAGAGGAGAGGAGAAGGAGCCAAATCACAGCGATGCACGCGTCCCCTCGAGTGTGTACAGGGCCTTTCGGAATTATCGGCGGAGGGAGATCCTTGACGTCTTCATTCCACGTAATCGATCCCCAGCGAGCGCGGCGAGCAAAGTGTCGGCGCGACGGTATCAGAAACAAGAAATATCGATACCTCGATAGCGGGCCCATCCGGCTCCTCACGGTTACCCTCGATTTTGTCGTCTCTTCTCCTCTCCCTCTCTCTCTCTCTCTCTCTCGCTCCGGGCTAATAAGGGCGAAACGATCCGCACGGGGACGGTGATCCTCCGCACGAGATATCGGCGGATGAAAAAAAATTTGCCTCGCGCGATCGATAAGAAGCTCGCGGCGGCGGGGGACGGGCGGGGGGTAGAGCGCAGCCTGGATAGACGAGTAATCGGGGGGATAGGGGCGAGTGCACCCCCGCGGAGAGCGCGCAGCGGGTACATCGTACGTACGTACGTTTATCGTGTATGAACTCCAATTCCGTGATGGAAGTGGATTAATACAATTTAATGGCGCCCCGGGAGAATTATATGCGCGCCGACATCTCGTACCTCGATCTTCCTTCCTGCCAGCGAATACACACGGAGGCGTCGTGTACTCGCGTGCGTCGTCCTCGTCGTGCACGCGCGGGCCCTCGAGATGTATATCGGGGGAGGGGGGAAGGATCCGCGAGCGGCGGAATGAGTCGAGAGTAGAACGGGGGGAGGAGAAGCTATCTGCCGGTATGCTTAATGATAATGAAGATAATAATAATTTAATTTAACACTTCGCGGGAAAACGAGGTCGCGCTCTCCCGCATTGATTCCCCCCTCCCCCCCCCTTGGACTCCTTTCGCCCTCACCTTCTCCTCCTCCTCCTACCGCCGCCTTTCTTCCTCTCTGTTCCGATTCTCCGCGCTCGAGGAGAGTGCAATATGCAAATATTAAAGACTTGTCGCGCCCCTTCCTCGCCCCCTCCCCCCTCCCCTCCCGCCTTCTCCGACACTGCTTGGGATCTTGATCTTAATCTTTCTTGTTATTTATCTTGACTGTTTGTTCCGCAGTCTCTCCCTCTCTCCCTCTCCCTCTCTCTCTCTCCCTCTCTCGTCACCACTTCATTTTATCAGCTTCCGCGGTATCCTGTGTAATATGTTTTCCTCCTTTCCCCTTTACCGTCTCCTGCTTTTACATTTTTTCTTTTTATTATTTTTCCTCGGCACGGTCGTTCCTCAAGTTGCAATTAATCCGCGTTCGCCCACGCGCACGTCTGGTCGCTCGTATGGGGAATTATTCTCTCTCTCTCTCTCTCTCTCTCTCTCTCTCTCTCTCTCTCTCTCTCTCTCTCTCTCTCTCACTCTCCGGGCTGGTGTAGTGTATTACATATATTACGTTAGATGTAGGTGGCCGGTAACCGGCGGGCGTTTAATTCCCGCGTCCTTGCGCGACAACGGCTCGATCATTTTTACGATACGACATTCATGTAACAGCCGACGCCGGTCGGAACTGCTTATTCCCGTGTATGCACTTAGGGGACACCGGGATGATCCCCGGGTATTAATAAATTGGATTTTCTTTCTTTCTTTCTCTCTCTCTCTCTCTCTCTCTCTCTCTCTCTCTCTCTCTCTCTCTCCTCGCCTTACGCAATGACGATAACACGAAGACACCGGCCTCCGGTATCATTATCTAATGTACTCTCTTAGAGGCCGCCCTCATACGTGACTTTCGGCCTCCAATTTTATGGCTTTCTGTGTGATAACATCCGCCTAGCGCTTCCCGGCGACGCGCTCTCGCAGCACTTAGTAAATATCTCACTCCTTCTGTCGCGTCCTCCTCCGTCGTTCTTCCGCCGAGCGAGCGCGACCGGCAGCAGGGTGGATATAAAAAATGTGTATGTATGGTCGCGCGAAAAAACGGCCGCGCGCTTATGAGAAATGCAAACGACGTCGGAGGATCCGCGAGGAGCGGCACGACTGTCCCGGTTGCGTTTATTTCTGCTCCTATTTCCATACGCTCGTGTACTCCGCAGAAAATATGAAGTCGCGCCGGCCAAAGGGTGGAAGCCGACGGTCGGGGTCAGGGGGAGGGACAAAGTTAAGAACGGCGGGGGAGCGGCCGAGAGAAGAGGGCGCGTGCAAGAGACGCGTAATACCGTGTTTAACTCCCCCGGACCTTTAACCGCCGCTGCCGCCGCCGCCGCACACCGTGCCGCCAATTTTTCACCGCCGTATTTCCCGAGCGATCAGATAGCCGCGTATTGCCCGACGTCTCTGCGACGCGATTCGAAATAAATCTGAAT